CTTCTTTAGGTATAATGTTTTAAAGGAGATAAAGGCACAGCTCACACACAAATGCACATTTATTCTCACAGAATTTACAGTTTTTGCTTGACCTGGCTCTTTAAACAATCAAGAGCTCTGTTTCATTTATTTATTCATTCATTCATTCATTTTCCTTTGGCTCAGTCCCTTTATTAATCAGGGGTCGCCACAGCGGAATGAACCGCCAACTCTGTTTTATTAACTGAGAAATCTAAATGTTTTTTGTTGTTGTTGTTGTTTTTCAGTGGAGTTTCCGCTGTCTGCTGGGCAGGCCAGTGTGTGAGTGTTTTTACCTGTTTAATGTGTGAATAATAATCCCAGTCATCGCTGCTCCTCTTCACTTCTCAGACGTGTGTTTGTTGCAGGTTCAGTAATGAAAAACACAAGTCAGAGTTCCAGACTTTCAAGAAGAAGATGACCCTGGGTAACGTCTCCTCATCCAGGGGGGTTGAGGTGTTGTCATGTGTTTAGGGGCGAGTTTACTGATTTAATATTTCTAATATGCACTCTTGGTATTTATTTAATAAGCTGTCTGTTTTTCTTATATTACTCAATCCTGCTCTCTACATTCATATATTAACCCAATCTCTACCATTTAAACATTGCACAAGCATATTTTCAGCAATGGGTCACACTTTTGGGTTGAGATTTCAGAAAAGTCATTAGAAGATTAAGTGGAGAAGATCATGTCGAGATATTATGTACATTCTTCTGCTGTAAATCTTTCAAAACTCGATTGTTGATCAGTAATGTGCATTGCAAACTTTAAAACTTTAAGCAGCTCTAAAGGTGATTTTTCTCAATATTCAGATTGTTTTTGAAATCCTCAGATTGTAGATGTTCAAGTAGTTTGATCTCAGTCAAATATTGTCCCATACACCACTGGAAAGCTTAATTATTCAGATTTACTGCGAGTATACATCTTACAGACAGTGAAAGAGACTTTGGGGACCCCAAGCGGTCATTTCACCCTGATTATTGGTTAAATCTGCTGCTGAATGTGGTGTTTCTCCTCCAGATGGCGAAGAGGACGGTGTGAGTTACGTGTTAATCGATGAGCTTCATGAGAAGTTTGGCCCTGCGGTGAGTTTGTCCAGCATTTCTCCTCATACATGTGTCTCACACACACACACACACACACACACTCACACTTGCACTGTATTTTCAGGTCATGCACATCCAGGAGCAGGACGTGATTGGCATCGGGGCTGATGTGTACGGACAGAGCGGCCAGGAGAGACTCTGCTGGTTACAGGTGAATCAGATCATACAATATTCAAGCGCCTCTTCCGTTTTCTGAGTGTTCAGCAGCTCCTCTACTGCAGCTCTTCACACAACACAGCCGCTTTCACAGTAGCTGACACACTATACGCTTTACACTGGGAAATGAATGAAGGAACACCTTTACTTTCAGAAACTTTCCGAAGAGCTTTATTGATCAGTGTGTTGAGTAGGAGCTTACAGAACAAACACAAGCATTTATTCTCATGCACAAAACTCTATGGGTATGAAAGATAAAACAAATCAAATGCTTGTCATAATCTTAACTTAAAGCCCAAGGTGTTTTTCTACATGCATTTTTTTATTTCTCTTTGCTATTTGGGCTTATTGGAACCTAATTAGATTAAATTAGTATTTTGCTATGATGTACTTTTAGAGAAAAATGATGTCCATATATGTGGACTCGTGGTCCCAATTTACATTAAACACTTTCTCCTGACTGTTTTTTATGCATATATAAAACATACACATTTTTAAACATGTTTTGACTATCAGAGTAACATTAATCAGAGAGGACATTTCATACGCTGCAAAACAGTGGCAGGATGACCCTGTATGTCTGTAACAAAACGCACATTAAATAAACCGCTCGCGGTCAGCTCACTTGTGATTCCACAGCTGCGAATAAATTATTAAATTAAGTCTGAAACAACATTTTTGGGTGAATTATACCTTATAAATGCAGTATGTGACTCTTTTAACGCAATTTAGAGGTGTAAAATAATGTGAAGAGCTGTGCGCCCGCCTTCTCACTTCTGACCTTAAATATAATTAGCTGAATCGTAGAAAAGCTGAATTAAGATCGTGTGGGGGTCGAATCGAGATCGCAATCATTTTTGATGATCCGAATCTGCAAACTCCACACAGAACTCTAACTGACCCAGCTGGGACTCGAACCAGCGACCTTCTTACTGTGAGACCACAGTGCTGACCACTGAGCCACCATGCTGCCAGTTACAATACATTAAGTCAACGGAGAGTGTGTAAACCACTAATACCAGTGTGTGTGTGCGCATAAAGCCCAGTGTGAGTTTGTGGGCTACTGATGAGTGTTTGTTTCCCTACAGGTGGCCACTAAGAAGGTGGTGTACCTGTTCGACATCCTCCTGCTGGGCGGTCCGGCGTTTAAGAACGGCCTGTCGATGATTCTGGAGAACACACACATCCTGAAGGTGAGCGGCTGCTGTGGGGCGTCACACACTCTGTCAAGACACAAAGATGCTTCACTGGCACTGCTGTGAATGGAGGAGGGTGCAGCGCTCAGTATGGCTGACACAGAGGAGCAAGCCCCGCCTACTGGTCGAAATATCCAATCATCAGTGTTTATAGTCATGCTGTGCTGTGGGGGAGGGGTCTGATTCATGATGAAGCTGCAGAAACTGAATTTTACACACGTCTGCACTGAAGCCCCTCCCCCAGAGAATCGTCAGGCAATTGCGATCACTGATTGGCTCCTGTACTAGAAGGCGGAGCCTCACTTAATAGAGCAGCTACACCTTTCCCCATTCAGAGCTGCACCAGTGTCTGTGTGTCCTGTAGTGTGTGCTTCAGTGGTGTGTGTGTGTGTGTGTGTGTGTGTTTTCTGCAGGTGCTCCATGACTGCCGCTGCATCACCCGCTGCCTGAGGACAGAGTTCAGGGTGCAGCTGACCAATGTGTTCGACACACAGGTGCGTCTACACACACACACACACACACACACACACACACACACACACACACACACACACACACACACACACCTCTTCAGCCAATCCCAGCACTGCTGATCAATATTTTAATGATCTGGTTTTGAGTTGAAGGTATGATCATATTTCCTGCAGCATCTGCAGACTGATTTGTTGTTTTAAGGAGAAGCTCGCTTCATTTTGACTCCTTATTTCTGAAAACAAGTGTTTTTACTGGTCCAGATGCTTCTTGATTTAGGATGTTGATGTTTTGACCGTGCTGTTGTGTAATTGTGTTGTTGTTGTGTGTGATGGAGGTGGCTGAGCTGCTGCTGTTCTTCAACGAGAGCGGAGGGTTTCTGCCGGACCGACTGGCTTTACTCCCAGAGCTGCTGCAGCTTCACCTCAGACTGACCACAGCGGAGATCCAGCCCCTCTGCTCCAAACAGCAGCAGAGCAGGGTCAGACACACACACACACACACACACACACACACACACACACACACACACACACACATACATACACACACTAGAGGGCGCCACAGCAGCACACACCCAATATTTTCTGCAATAATGTGTGTGTGTTTGTGTGTGTGTGTTTGTGTGTGTGTGTGTGTGTGTGTGTTCTCCTCTGCTTCAGGAGTGTGTGCAGCTGTGGTATGTGCGTCCGTGTCCTCCAGATCTCCTCAGTCTGATGTGTTCTTCAGTCCAGCATCTCCTCTCTCTGCGTCTGCTGCTGCTGGACGCTCTGCTGGCGGATTACACTGTGCTGGTGGACTCCTTCATGAGCAGCTCTCACTGCCCACCACTGCACTTCCAGCAGGTCAAACACACACAGACAGAACCAGCGCTCGCTAAACACACTTTACACATCAGAGGAATACACTTCACAAAGGCTAAACATGACTTACACTCAGCGGCCACTTTATTAGGCACTTATTGCAATGAATAATAGTGTGTGTGTGTTGAAATAGCTTAATGCAGCATATTCTGTGCTACTTGTAAATGTGATGCATTGTGTGTGTGTGTGTGTGTGTGTGTGTGTGTGTGTGTGTGTTCAGGATGAGTGCGCGGTGCCGCCGGAGCTGCAGGAGCTGATGTGTGTGCGTCAGCAGAGGATGGACTGGGCGTCTCAGTGTTACTCTCAGACTGACAGTGGTCTTCTGCAGCGCTCCAGCTTTAAAGCCTCTCCACACACTCCAGCAGACGCTCAGTAATGCTGTCCTGCGGTAAACGCTCTTCTGTTCAGTCTTTCTGTTCACGTGTTTTGTGTTGTGTATTAAGAGTTCACGAAGCTGTAAAGAGTGTGTTCAATAAATGTGAAGCTCCTGTGCTGCTCTCCAGGGTCGATCATTTGATAATAGTATAATATTAGTAATCATATAGGAACATAATAGTATAATATAAATTATTATCATCAAATCTTGTGGATTAGTTTGGCTGAAGGTTTGACCGTGTGTCACATGCGTGTGAGTTCAGCAGCATATACTGAAGCACAGACAGTCCAGATCAGGGTTTTGGGGCTGAAGCGTGATTTATTTCAGCAGTGTATTTTAATATGTCAGCAAGTTATTCCTAAACACTACTCCTGCTATTGTAATGCGGAAATATGAATGAAATTGTGAGCGTTAGTTCAGGAGATAATAGAGTTTATAATGACTTTAAGAGTTTATCTGTCAGGAGTAGTGCGGTTGTGTTTAATGTAGTGGGTCACGCTGCACTTGGGTTCGGGACACTAAAGCGGGCTGCATGAGGCCACGTTACACATCATTCATTTGCTGAAGCATTTCAGAAGCGGGATCATTTAGAGGACGCCTTTATTAGAGAGGCCCCGGAGACCGTCTTTAGCTGTTTTATGTTAATGCTGGTTTTGTGTTGTTGTGAATCGCGCACTCATCCACACCGCCTGAAGTGCTGGAATTCATTTTGTGCAAGACGTTTTCTGGAAAAGATACCAGAGGACCCCTGAGGGGTCGGAGGTCACGGTTGTTCAGTGTAGGCTTGCGCTCTTGTGCTTTATGCACTGAAACTCCTCCAGACTCCTTCAGTCTTTAATGCTGTTCTGCACTGCACTGTGTCTGTGCTCAAACTGGAGATACTCGACTCATCTCTGCTCCTACAGCACTAGAGCTTTCCTGATGAGCAGATCACCATCACCATCACCTGTGGACATCACATCATCATCCAGCAGATCACCTGATCACGGCCTGCACTGCTGCTGACTCTGTTCTGGAGTGTGCTGCAGGAACACAATACAATACCATTATTAAAACAAACAATCAGCAGGAATGATGAGGATCGCCTGAATAATGTTTGTTGTATAGTCTGTGATAAAATACAAGTCATGGCTGCTTTTTATGTGTGTTTTATAGTCATGAACACACTTGTTTGTAGAGCAGTTTGACCACTTTCTGCCATTTATCTAATCGTTTCTCTCATTGGAAACTGAATCAGAAAAATTTGTAGAAAATTGAGTTCACTCCCGCACGCAGAAATAAGGTGAACAGGACGTGCAGAATATTCTTCAGTTTTAGGCAGAACACTCGTACAGCAAATAGATCATCAGTTCTACATCATTGCATGAACAATAAAATAAGAGTGTGTAGAAAACAGCATCAGTATAAGTAGTTTGACGCATGAACACTGAAGCATTGTGGGAACACCGTGTATTTACATGTGTCCCCGCTGTACATGCATGAGTTTCAGAGTGCTGCACCTGTAAATCTCCCAGACAGTGAAGTTTCTCCAGGTGTGTGAACTGTGTTCTGCTGTGTCTGCTCAGTGTGTGTGTGTGTGTGTGTGTGTGTGTGTGTGTGTGTGTGTGTGTGTGTCCTGCTCTGGGGAAGGGGAGCGTCTCCCCCTCTCCATCAGGACGGGGCTCAATTAGCATTTCACAAGTGCCTTTCTCCCTTTCTCTGCTCCCTCCCCGCGGAGCGCTGCTTTAGCAGGGATTGTCCTGCTTCTGGCCGGCTGCGGTTGGCAGGGTGACAGTATTCGAGTGTGCAAACTTCTGCTATTGTCCCCGAGCCAGGAGGAGCCATGGAGACCCCGCTAATATGACACAGGAAAATGTTTGCTGATGGCAATTCTATGGGCTTTGTCTAACTCTTTCTCTTTCATGACGACTCGATTTAAGTCTCCGAATGTTTGACTACAAATGCGGGAGTGCTATCCGGCTCCTCCGCCTTTGTCCCGCGAGGTTTGAATGAGTAATTCAGCTTTTGTGTGGCTGGATTGAGGGGGCAAACAGAAAGACAAGATTCCTGAGCGCTCGAGCCCCCTTCCCATGGATATGCGCAGGTCTCTCCCCCCGAGCCCGTCTGCTGACACCAGCGCCGGGTGGAGAGTGCGGACGGGTGGAGGCGTCCGGGTGGAGCGTGCCTGCGCAAACCCTGGCACATCAAACCCTGATCCCGCCGCAGAGACGCTCTCTGAGGATGATGGAGCCGGCGTTTCCGCTCAGAGATTGCGTCGGCTCGCTCTTTTCCCTCGCTGATTTCCATGACAACAATTTGGGCTGGCAAAGAATCCGACACCGGGACCTCGGCGGCTCATTGTGCACAAAGTGAGGTCGCTGATTGGCCCGAGGGAAGCACCGTAACTACACAGAGTCTATAGTCATTGAGCTGCATTGAGTGCTGGGCTATTATAGAGGCTGGACATCACTCAGCCGGCGCAGACGCTTCATCTGCTCCAGACATGGGAGCTCCTCGGGGTGAGCATATGTGCACGTGCGGACTCTGCTCTGAGCGCTGACCGTCATGGCCAGCTCTGACACCGAGGTGAAGACGCTCCTGAACTTTGTCAATCTGGCGTCCAGCGACATCAAGGCGGCCCTGGACCGCTCGGCCCCCTGCAGACGCTCTGTTGACCACCGCAAATACCTGCAGAAGCAGCTGAAGCGCTTCTCACACCGATACGCCAAGCTGCCGCGCTGCCGATCCGGCGACACCACCTGCGCGAGGCTCTCCCAGCAGAAAGCAGCGACACTGCAGGACGAGGCGCGACCGGAGCAGGTCCCGATGCGGGATCGACAGCTGCCGGCGAGCTTCTGGAGGGAACCGCAGTCCTGCTCGTCCAGCATGGGCCAGGACTGTCTGCAGATCCGCAAACACAGCAGCGCCGCCGAGAACAGAACCATGATCTGTGAAGACTCCGCAGTGATGCTGGATCCCCACAGGAGGAGTGCGGTGTGCGGGTGCTGTCCGCTCCAGTACCGCTCGCTCCACAGCCGCTTTCTGTTCCCGGACGCAGCTTTCAGGAGTAAACCCAACACCGGCGGGGAACCAGCGCAGATGGACCCACAGCAGAGGAACAGCACTCATGTGGTCATCAAACCCATCCCCACCAAACCCACCGCGCCGCCCTCCATCTTCAGTGTGTTCGGCTTCATCTAGAGCCCGGATCTGGACTACACTAACCCGGATGTGGACCCACTTTATCTGACTGCTGATCTCCAAGCCCTTGAGCACTGATGCAGCCTATTAAACACCTGTACAGCGTACGGCATGCACGGCTCACCGTGGCTACTGATTAATGCTGCTTATTTCTGCTGTTGAGCTGCATTATGGGATGTCTCTCTCTCTCCAGCAGTGTCTAACCTGAACCGTGTGTAAGTGTCTCCTCTGCTCATGTGTGTGCAGTGTGTGTTGGTGTTGTATATAACGCTGCAGTGAGCCTGTAACACTTGTAAACACTTCCTCCTCTACATGTTATGGCTGATGATTATATTAGTGCTAAAACATCAGAAGTGGACAGAGCAGAGATCAACATCCCATAATGCAGTTCACCACCGCCAATAAACACTGAACACAGCGAGGTTTGAGGAAGAGGTCGTCTCTGGTGGACTGTGTGCTCCTGGATGAGGAAGACCTCTGTGCCGCTGGACTGGACTGGGCTGTTCTGGACTGGGCTTGTGATTAGTTTGCTGGCAGGTGATTGGTCTGTTCTGTGTGCCGCGTCTCTGTCATCTGTGTGTGCATTTAACACAGTAGATTATTCTGTCTTACAGTCGAGAGGTTATTTATTGCTTTTACTTGACTCATGTAGAAGTCTGATATATGGCAAACTGCACATGACATGACGTACAGCTGCAGTCAGAATTATTCACCCCCTTTGATTTATTATTTTTTTCTTCTTTCAAATATTTCCCAGATGCTGTTTCTCAGATTCAGGAGTTGTTCACAGTGTTTCCTCTGTTTGTTCTTCTGGAGAAAGTCTGATGTGTTTTATTTGGGCTAGAGTAAAAGCAGTGTTTAATAGTGTTAAAGTCATGTTAAGCTCAATATTATTCACCCCTTCAGCAATATTAGTGTTGGATTGTCTCCAGAACAAACCACTGTTATACAATGACTTGCCTAATTACCCTAACTTTACCCTGATTACCCTAGTGAAGCCTTTACATGTCACTGTAAGCTGAACACTAGTGTCTTGAAGAATATCTAGACTAATATGATGTGCTGTCATCATGGAGAAGAGGAAACACATCAGCTGTTAGAGATGAGTTATGAACACTGTTATGAGCAGAGATGTGTTGTAGAAATCTGCTCTCCATTACACAGAAACTGGGGAAAAAATAAATAAACGGGGGCAAATAATTCAGGAGGGCTGATAATTCTGACTGTAGATGCAACATATAACTCAAAACATTGGGGAAACCGCCGTTAATTCTTGTCCTAATGACTGGATCTACAGATGTGTCAGTATATGTTTGAATATATTATCCATGTACACAGTTAAAGTCTAAATCATTTGGCCTCTTGTGAAATGAGTATATCCTCAGCACTGTTCAGCAGGGGAGAGTCTACAAGGGATACAGCTCTGGACACATATGATACATCAATACAGCAGTTTTTGTGAGCCTGTATGACAATAATTAGTATTGTTATATTACTCTGGGGCCGGGGTAAAGGTAGATGTTAACAAAACACAATTAAGGAGTATCTTTATAATTAACCCTCCGGCTGCAGCTGTATCCCTTCTAGAAACTGCCATCTAACAGCATATATTCGTCTTTGCGGTAAATATTTTATTCGAGTGTGGCTAGAATAAAAGCAGTGTTTAATAGTGTTAAAGTCATGTTAAGCTCAATATTATTCACCTCTTCAGCAATATTAGTGTTGGATTGTCTCCAGAACAAACCACTGTTATACAATGACTTGCCTAATTACCCTAATTTTACCCTGATTACCCTAGTGAAGCCTTTACATGTCACTGTAAGCTGAACACTAGTAAAATATGGGTCACACTTTACAATAAGGTTAATGTTAATGCATTTACTAAGATGAGCAAACAATGATCAACACATTTACTACAGTATTTACTCATGTTAGTAAACGTTAGTTAATGAAAATACAGTAGTTCAGTGTTAGTTCATGTTAACTCGTGGTGCATTAACTAATATTAACAAGCGTTGACATGAATGTTAATATTGCATTAGTAAATGTTCAATTATGATTAATAAATGCTGTACATGTGTTGTTCATGATTAGTTCATGTTAGTAAATGCATTAACTAATGAACCTTATTGTAAAGTGTGACCAATATATGATGTGCTGTCAATAGAAATGAGTTATTAAAACTATTCTTTTAATATGCGTTGAAAAATCTCTTAAAAACACTGGAAAAGAACAAACATTTCACAGGAGAGCAAATCATTCTGACAAACTCTAATATATATAACTATATAACTATATATATATATATATATATGAAGGTGTTTCAGTAGATCAAAACGTTGTCAAAGTTGTGCTAAAACTATAACTATACTCCTTCGTTTTGGTACATTTTTGAATATGATGAAGAGTTTAGATGCAAAAAGCCTCTAAGTGTTGTCAGACATGTCTGTGGTAAATGAACATTATCTTCAGCCTCCTGTGTTTATGTTGACTTATTTCACTTTGAAGATCATGAGAACTTATTCCTCACCATAAAGGTGAAATTACTGAGCCGACACACAGGAGCCTGAAGAACATGCTCACTTCAGAAGAACCTTTCAGACGGCAGCTACAGGCTTCTCCATCTCAACTCTTCATATATGTATATAGTTGGTGTGTGTGTGTGTGTGTGTGTGGCCATATATCAGATGTCCACATGAGGCGCTGTTGTACTAACCCTGTTGATAATCCAGATGTTGTGCTTAATGAGCTCATTAAAGCTGGTAATGATGGACTCTTGACACGCTCTGCTCACACTGCTTTATTCTCAGTGTATTTGCACATTACACACACACACACACACACAGGAGGAATACTTCATCTTCAAGAGCATAAATTAATGATATAAATAAAAGAAATCACACACAACTCTCACTGATGAGTGTCCAGCATCAGTGGTGAGGGTCTGTTCAGGACTGATCAGTATATTGATCACTGTATTAGTGAGCACATCACTGCATTAATCTGCCGTCTGTCTCTTTAAATACTGGCGCTCTGATGAGCAGGAGGATTCTGATTGGCTGTTGGTGTTTATGAAAGTTGCTCTGAATAATGCTGCGTTATCAAATATGGACAAACCCAATCGCTGGTTACAAGCGTCATGTAGATTCAACAGAAGAAGTGAACACCGACAGCCAATCAGATCGCCTCCTGCTCATCAGAGCGTCAGTGTTTAAAGAGACAGACCCCGCTCCAGCTGCTCTTCAGTTCAGGAGTGTGTTTAGCAGCGTCTTCACAGATGGTGATGTTCCCCGGGCCTCAGAGGTGTGTGTGTGTGTGTGTGTGTGTGTGTGTGTTTGTCGGAGGCTCTGGATGTCAGATATCTCTGCAGGCGTTCAGGCAGCGGCAGCGAGCGGATGGAGTTCAGTCTGTGTGTGCCGAGCTGATGACGGATCTGCAGCCGACAGAGGTGCACGAGAGCTCGAGGAGACGCTGCACACACACACACACACACACACACGAACAGAGACAACATCACTCACACAGTACTGATCTGAGAAGACCGACACACAACTGCTCATCTTAAAGCACTCGAGCACATCGAAACATCTGTGAGCTTCTGTTGAACACCAGAGGAGATATTCTGAAGAATGCTGGAGGAACAGACATCTCAGCAGCAGCAATGATCAGATGTGTGTGTGTGTGTGTCTGTGTGTGTGTGTGTAGCAGGGTTGCTGATGAGACTCACAGGTCTTCTCCTCGATGCTGGGCCACTGCGCTGTGTCCCGGAGCAGGCTGGAGATCCGGCTGCAGAGCTGAACATTTCCCACATAATCCAACAGCAGATCCACCAAACCACCAGCAGAGGGAGCAGAGCGGGACGAGCAGAGCCACTCGCAGAACTGCAGGAGAACACACACACACACACACACACACATCAGAAAACAAAGAGAACAGTGTGTGTCATTACTGTGGTCTCTGTAGTGTGTTTTGTGTGTGTGTCATTACCGTGTTCTCTGCAGTGTGTGTTCTGTGTGTGTGTGTGTGTCATTACTGTGTTCTCTGCAGTGTGTGTTCTGTGTGTGTGTGTGTCATTACCGTGGTCACTGCAGTGTGTGTTCTGTGTGTGTGTGTGTCATTACCGTGTTCTCTGCAGTGTGTGTTCTGTGTGTGTGTGTGTGTCATTACTGTGTTCTCTGCAGTGTGTGTTCTGTGTGTGTGTGTGTCATTACCGTGGTCACTGCAGTGTGTGTGTCATTACCGTGTTCTCTGCAGTGTGTGTTCTGTGTGTGTGTGTGTGTCATTACCGTGATCTCTGCAGTGTGTGTTCTTTGTGTGTGTGTGTGTGTGTGTTAGTGTGTCATTACCGTGTTCTCTGCAGTGTGTGTTCTGTGTGTGTGTATGTGTGTCATTACCGTGATCTCTGCAGTGTGTGTTCTGTGTGTGTGTGTGTGTGTGTGTCATTACCGTGATCTCTGCAGTGTGTGTTCTTTGTGTGTGTGTGTGTGTGTGTGTGTGTGTTAGTGTGTCATTACCGTGTTCTCTGCAGTGTGTGTTCTGTGTGTGTGTGTGTGTGTGTGTGTCATTACTGTGATCTCTGCAGTGTGTGTTCTTTGTGTGTGTGTGTGTGTGTGTGTGTTAGTGTGTCATTACCGTGTTCTCTGCAGTGTGTGTTCTGTGTGTGTGTATGTGTGTCATTACCGTGATCTCTGCAGTGTGTGTTCTGTGTGTGTGTGTGTGTGTGTGTGTGTCATTACCGTGATCTCTGCAGTGTGTGTTCTTTGTGTGTGTGTGTGTGTGTGTGTGTGTGTTAGTGTGTCATTACCGTGTTCTCTGCAGTGTGTGTTCTGTGTGTGTGTATGTGTGTGTGTGTGTGTGTGTGTGTGTGTTAGTGTGTCATTACCGTGTTCTCTGCAGTGTGTGTTCTGTGTGTGTGTATGTGTGTCATTACCGTGATCTCTGCAGTGTGTGTTCTGTGTGTGTGTGTGTGTGTCATTACCGTGATCTCTGCAGTGTGTGTTCTGTGTGTGTGTGTGTGTGTGTCATTACCGTGATCTCTGCAGTGTGTGTTCTGTGTGTGTGTGTGTTTGTGTGTGTGTCATTACCGTGACCTCAGCAGTATGTTGTGTGTAGTCTGTGTGTGTTATTACCGTGATCTTGGCAGCGTGTGGTGTGTGTTCTGCGAGTGTGTCCTCCTCGTGCGAGTGTGTTGCGCAGGTGAAGCAGGCGTGTGCGTCGCAGCCGTGCTCCAGCAGCTCCCGCAGCACCTCCAGCTGGTGTGTGTGCAGCAGCGCCGCAGGGAATGTGGTGTTGTGTGTGGGCGGGTGTGTGTTGGCGTGCGCTCCGCTCCGCAGCAGCAGCTCCACCGTGCGCACACAGGCCTGCCGGGCCGCCAGCAGCAGCGGGCTGAAGGGGTCCAGCTCGGGGTCGGCTCCGGCTCGCAGGAGTGCGGCAGCTACCTCTGTCCTGCCGGCGGCCACTGCGCAGTACAGCGGAGACACCCGACGGTCCGCAAACACAGCCGAGCGCTCGTCTGACAGCCTGCTGTTCACATCACAGCCCGAGCCGATCAGCAGCTCCAGCACACGCAGGTGACCCCGCTCCGCCGCCAGATGCAGAGGGGAGATGCCGCTCTGACGGAGCCTCCAGCGGCTGGTGATGGGCAGCAGTATAGACACGATCCTGCAGATGAACACACACACACACACACACACATTAAACACTCCTGATGACTTACAGGACAGAAATTAACCGTTGCTGTTTCTGTGTGGAGTTTGCATGTTCTCCCCGTGTTGGTGTGGGTTTCCTCCGGGTGCTCCGGTTTCCCCCACAGTCCAAACACATGCGCTATAGGGGAACTGATCAACTACACTGGCCGTAGTGTATGAGTGTGTGTGTATGTGTGTGTGTGTGTTCCTCTTACCGGTGGTGTCCGTGTTGACTGGCCACATGCAGTGGCAGCAGTCCGTCCGCAGAGGCGTGGTGTGTGTCTGCGTGGTGTTTGAGCAGGACTCGCACTGCATCTGTGTGTCCGTGTCTGCAGGCCTCCATTAAAGGTGTGTATCCGTCACTCGTCTGCAGATCCACTGCTGCTCCTGAACACACACACACACACACACAACAGATGACCTCAGTGTCTACACAGGCTAGCTGATGAGTTGTGCTGTTGGAGTATACAGTAGTGTTGACTGGCGCTGTGTGGTTCTTCTGGTGTGTGTGTGTGTGTGTGTGTGTGGTTCTTCTGGTGTGTGTGTGTGTGTGTGTGTGTGTGTGTGTGGTATTGCTGGTGTGTGTGTTAGTACCGTTCTGCATGAGCAGCTCCAGAGTGTGTGTGTGTCCGTGTCGTGCGGCCTCTACAGCGGGTGTGTTGAGTTGAGCGCAGCGTGCGTCTCTGGAGGCTCCGGCACGCAGCAAACACACACAGATCTGCACACAGCCTCGTTCTGCAGCCGCATGCAGAGCGGAGCGACCGCGCACACACCGCTGGTCCACCACTGCGCCACGCTGCAGCAGCACCTCCACCATCTGCACACACTCCTGCTCGCACGCTGCACACACACACACAAAGCAGACATCAGCTCTCAAACACACACACAGGCACACTCACTCAGACACTCTCTCTCACACACACTCTCCTCACCCCTATAGAGCGGCGTCTCTTTGCTCTTGTTGCAGATATCAGGATCTGCTCCGGCTTCCAGAAGGATCCTCACACACTCCAGCTGCCGCGCCTGCACCGCCAGCATCAGCGCCGTCTCCTCCTGTAGAGTGCGCTTGTCCACACACACCTGGCCCTCTGACACACACACACACACTCATTTCAGTACAGGTCTGTGTGCGCTGTGGAGTGCAGAGCTGGACTCGGCATCAGATCTACAGCTGCACATGAGTCAAGTGAACACACACACACACACATCTGCTGCTCTCCTCACGTCTCAAACACACACCGTATATCAGCTGAGGCCTGTTCTGTCTGAGCACATCACGTGACCCCTCTGATGTCCACTAACTAGTAAACGAAGAGTCGCTGTCATCTCAGGAGATTGGCCATCAGAAGAGCAGCGCGATCCAGACATAACTCAGAGGAGGACCGTGTGTGTTCATTAACCAGAAAAGCCAAACGAGTGTGTATGCGCATCAGCCCAGGCAAGCTGAGAGAACACTGATCTCATTTAATTTGGTGAAACATTCAGTGACAGAACTGAAGAGACCGCTGATGATCAACTCTAGTGGAGACTCCAGCCTTTTCCATTAGTGTGTGCTTCTCCATCAAACCAGAATGTCTGAGCATAGAGGGACTTGGATAAAGACCCAACTAGCTTAATGTGTGTGTGTGTGTGTCTGACCTCTCAGCAGTGCCTGAAGGCAGTGGTTCTGTCCACGGTAAGCTGCTTCATGCAGTGGTGTCCAGTCGTCTCCGTCCAGCACTTCAGTCCCACTGGGTCCCGCTCTGAGGAAAACACAAACACTGCATTACTGCAGTACAGAGCTGAGCAGATCAAACACCGAGTCCTCACACTTCTCTAACGTAGAACAACAATACGTGTGGACAAACAGCGAGACTACAACCGCCAACTCTGTTACCCGTCAACTCTGTTACCCGTCAACTCTGTTACCCGTCAACTCTGTTACCCGTCAACTCTGTTATCGTCAACTCTGTTATCGTCAACTCCGTTATCGTCAACTCTGTTATCGTCAACTCAGTATTCGTCAACTCTGTTATCGTCAACTCCGTTATCGTCAACTCTGTTATCGTCAACTCTGTTATCGTCAACTCCGTTATCGTCAACTCCGTTATCGTCAACTCTGTTATCGTCAACTCTGTTATCCTCAACTCTGTTATCGTCAACTCTGTTATCGTCAACTCCGTTATCGTCAACTCTGTTATCGTCAACTCTGTTATCGTCAACTCTGTTACCCGTCAACTCTGTTACCCGTCAACTCCGTTATCGTCAACTCAGTTATCGTCAACTCTGTTATCGGCAACTCTGTTATCGGCAACTCTGTTATCGGCAACTCTGTTCCCTGTAACTCGGTTACCGTCAGCGGCTGAACTTGCTGTCATCTCTGATATTGTCAACTCTGATAACGTCAGTGTCAACTCAGTTAAAGCTTTGAATATTATCATGATATGTGTTTAATTGATTAGTGGCCTCGTTACTTGTGTACTTATAGCTATGTTTAGACAATATGAACAGCATCTCAGCAACTTTTTAGCTAAAGGTGTTGATATTCGTTACTTTTAAACACTCTATAGTTGAATCCTCTCAGTGATGTATATGTTGAGACGACAGCAGTTTTGGATTGTGTCATTTGTTGTCTTTAATGGAGTTGAAGGATATTTCTGTGAATCTGTCGACTTTCAGAGTAAATCTGTGAAACTTTACTAGTTTTCGATCAACAAGTCTGGACTCAGTTAACAGGAGAAGCAGATGCACATGTGTGTCTCCTACTATTTTAATGGGTCATGTAGTATAATGGTTCATGGTTCAAGAACACTTCAGTATTTACTATTAACCACTCTTGCGTTTCTTCATGCGTGTAGTCATCAACAAACCCTCGTGATATGGATTTAGCAGCAGGTGTGAGGAGACATGATTCTCCAGAGACATCAGTAAGATCAGGCCATCCTCTGAGGAGAACTGACGGAGAACAGAGACTACAGAGCCCAGAGCAGACACACACACACACGATGACCAGAGGTATGACAACTGAACACACACGATACCTTGATCACACAACAGTACACACACACACACACACATCTACAATAATAAACATACTGTAGTCAACACTAATAAACAGAATAATACACACACACACACAATAGGAAACACATAATAAACACAGTTGTAAACATTAATAAACAGAACACGTAATATTAAACACACAGAAAACATACAATAGTAAATACACATAGTAAACATTAGACATACACAGCAGTAAACACTATTAAACAGTAAACGCACACACATATACAGTAGTAAACAGTAGAAAACCCATTAATAACACAGTAGACATATTACACACACACACAGTGAAAACAAAAACGCACAATAGTAAACATTAATAGCACATACAGTAAATACACAAACAGTAGTAAACATTACACACATAATAAACACACAGTAGTGCACGCGTATAATAATGCAGGCGCGCGCGCGGGGACTCACTGTGCGGGCTCGTGGCGCGCCTCCGCTCCTCCACAGCGGTGTGTGTGTGTTTTCTGTCGCCTTGGGTTTGCTGTTTTGTCGTTTGTTCTGAATAATGAAATATATTCGGCATAAGAGAACCGGGTCATCGTGTCTTACTGTCACAGAGCGCGCGCCTGGACAGACAAAGGCGCGTGCGTGTGTGTGTGTGTGTGTCAGCGAACACACACCCACACACACTCTCAGCTGTTCAGTGGGTTAATTTTAGCATCTGTCGACACGTGAGGGCTGGCTTTACCTTATTTGACTAACGCCATTCCGCCGAGCAGATCAGATAAGCGCAGGTCTCAGATCAGCTCGGTGTTTCCTCGGAATGACTGGAGCTGTACTGCAGGAGCCCGATCACCCTGAAGATCAGCTGCAGATCCACATTCCCATCATCAAACCTGCTCTCATCTGCATACTCCACTGGCAGAGGCGTGCGGGCGAGCCTGTTCCCATCACACTGAACAGGTTTAGCTTTATTGCTGGGGGAAACACACACGCACACACACACGCACGCACACACGCACACACACACACACACCAGGTTCCAGAGAATTACCACTGAATTACCGCTGAACACAACACAGCACGACCCCGCAGAGCTCCACAGCCAGCGCCTGAGCGGGTCTCCGGTGTTTGGCCGAATGTTTGGCTTCTGGTGGGAGCTCTGCTGGATCTCACACACACACACACTTTTTTTTTTTTTAAATACAAAATCCAAATACAACAAAATGGGATTCAACTTTACAACTTGTGTGTCATATATGGAAGGCTCAACACAAAATAATAAAATAAAAAATAATATACAAAGATACAAATGTAATATACAAAAAACATTCAAGTTAAATAAATCCAATAATGAAAGGAAAATGCAAAAATTAAATAAGTAAATAAATAAAAATTAAGTACAACATATATCATCTATGGCAAGTTATATACAACAAATAAATTGAAAATTTTTAAGGCATTTTTTGTTTTCATCACACACACTTATCATCAGGACTCTTCTGGAGAATCAGCACACGCGTCACACACACAACTGAAGACATACAGGACATTATTGTTTACAATCAAATCTTTTGCTTTGTGCCTGCGTGCGCGCGCGCGAGCATGTGTGGTGTGTGTGTGCTTCATTGAGTGTGCATGAATGAGCGTGTGTGTGTGTGTGTGTGTGTGTGTGTGTGTGTGTGTGAGTGTGATAGTGCAGCTGAAGCTCCTTGTATGGAGTCTGTGCTGAGTGTTTATCTTCACTGCACTCACTACAGCTGCTCTCATATATAGACACTATCCTCTTCTGTTTCATCACACACACACACACACACACACACACACACGCTAATAATCATTGTTTGTGACTATTAATGTTCTTTTCATTATAATCATCATATTACCAGCTTAAATGACTTCAGCATTCTTCAGTATTTTCCTTGTTCTGTTTTGTCTCCACAGGGGTTTTCCTGAAGTTTTACATGTACACTGATATACAGATCCACAATTATCACCCTTCAGTCAAATCCTGACTGTTTTAATATATTACCACTGACAACAACACATCTCTCATCATAACAGTGTTCATAACTCATCTCTAACAGCTGATGTGTTTCCTCTTCATCATGATGACAGCACATCATATTAGACTAGATGTTCTTCAAGACACTAGTGTTCAGCTTACAGTGACATGTAAAGGCTTCACTAGGGTAATTAGGGTAAAGTTAGGGTAATTAGGCAAGTCATTGTATAACAGTGGTTTGCTCTGGAGACAATCCAACACTAATATTGCTGAAGGGGTGAATAATATTGAGCTTAACATGACTTTAACACTATTAAACACTGCTTTTACTCTAGCCCAAATAAAACACATCAGACTTTCTCCAGAAGAACAGAGACTAGAGTGTGGGAATCATCATTTGGGAAATATTGGAAAAAAAGGAAAGAAGAAAGAAATTTCAGAAAAGGGGTAATCATTTTGAGGCAGTGCGTGTGTGTGTGTGTGTGTGTGTGTGTGTGTGTGTTGTTTCTCTCAGCTGAAGGGGTGTGAGGCTGCAGCTCGTGTATCTCCTGTCTCTCCTTCAGCTGGAACTGTAGGTTATCAGGCTCAGCGGGTGTTCCTCTGTTTCTGTCATCTGCTGGTCTCAGATCAGCTCTTCTGTGCTTCTCCTTTACGGCAGGGGTTACAAAAACCAAACATCATCAAGATCTGTGGGCTGAAGGTAAATAAACCAACTATAATACAGTGAAGCTGCTATTCCAGCACATGTACACAGCAGATGCCCTTCCTGCTGCAACCCAGTACTGGGAAAGAAACACACACACACACACAATTCACACATTCATTCGTACACTACGGCCACCGCAGCACCTTAACTCATCATTCATTCATTTTCTTTTCAGCTTAGTCCCTTTATTCATCAGGGGTCACCACAGCGGAATGAACCGCCAACTATTCCAGCACATGTTGTACACAGCAGATGCTCTTCCAGCTGAAGCCATCCTCAGTGTAGAGTGCAGAACAGGAACACGCATGATCACTGCAGATACTGGAGCGTGATAGAGCCGTGTACACTGCTGGAACAGATCCGCCAATACTTATGAATATACATTTATATCCCGCTATTCTGACTTATGAGCAGTTTACATCACAGTCTGAGGAACTGGCAGCGTTATGTCAGGCGATATCAATATCAAGCATTAACCTGTGTTCATTCAGTGGCGGGAACTAAACAAACTTCCACAGTCAGCATCAGCATGACGATAAACACCCTATAAACAATATACATTTACTCTGAGCCGGCTTTTATCATGTATGTGCTGTTTTCCTAACAGCATAAACATTTTAACAAAGTTTCACAAACAGCAAACAGCTCTGGATGACGCGACCGGAAACTACGGCTAGACTTCCGCTCGGTCACCACGACAACGGCGGCGCGTCCTCAGTGTTTTGTACGGTGTCGGAGCAGCAGGACCGGGCCGGTGTCGGTGCTTCAGGATGGAGGCGGATCTGCTGGAGCTCCGGCTGGAGAACCGGAGAAGGAACGTGTTCGTGACGCAGCCGCAGCCGGAGGAGAGCAGGTGCGTGAGTGTGTGTGTAAATCTGAGTCCCTCCTCTGATAAAGCGGCCATCACACCATTGAGCTGAATTACTCTACATATGAGCTGTACACCTGAGCTCTACAAGCTGGCTTATATCCGCACATGCGAGCTCTCTCCTCCGCAATATCATGCCGGGACAGTGTTATTGGCAAACTCCATATATCGCATGCGTCAGTAGCGCCGCCATATTGGTACAGGACTAAAGTCAATGAGACGCACTGGTCAAGACTGCGCCAGAGTGAAGATGCTGGCCTGTAGCGCTGTGTACAGGTGTAGTGACGAGCAAACACTGACCACAGGCGACCGAAGATCTCGTTTTTTACGTTTTGTATGTTATGAACGTTTGTGCTCCACAAGTGTTGATGATAATACAGTGCACTGCACTGAAAACAGCAGCAACACACACACACACACACACACACACAACACCACGAGAAGGGGAGGCAGGAGAGGATAACACATCTCCACACACACACACACACTGTGTCAGGAATGTGTGTGCGGTCAATGTAGAAAAGTGATGTAAAATTATAATTTTTGATATTTAAATAAATTTTTGCATACTGAATCTCCCGATCATAGATATATGTGTGTGTGTGTGTGTGTGTGTGTGTGTGTGTGTGTGTTTCAGAGAGCGAGAGAGTGATGGCGAGCCACAGCTCAAGCTCATCCCCATCATCACACAGGTCTGTTCATTACTGCTCCTCTAGCCCGTCTGCTCCTGCTGGTCTGTGCTGGACTGAAGTGCTGTGAACTCCTGACTGAGAGCTCCGAGTCCTGCACCAGCCCAGCCGGAGCTCACTGATCAGCCATGAAGACACGAGCTCATCTTCATCACACACACACACACACACACACACACACTACTGTACACTGATGAGGGAAGACCCAAGCATTCCCAGTGTTCCCTCAGTGGACAGCACTGCAGTAAAGAGTGTGTTGATCATGTGTGTGTGTATGTGTGTGTGTGTGTGTGTGTAGTCTCCCAGTGGGATCCTGGAGTCTGGAGTGAGGACTCTGCAGTGCACACTGGTGTTGAAGAAGAGGGAGGAGCTGGACAACATCAACACACACCTGACACACACACGCGCGCAGATACAGCAGCGCATGAGGAGCCTGACGGAGAGACGAGAGCTGCTGCAGCGCGCACAGGAGGAGGTCTCACACACACACACACACACACACACACACACACGTATACGAGGTGCGTCTGTAAACCAGCTCAATAGAGCAGATCTACTCCATACCTGTGTCAATATACAAGTTTGTGTCCCTGTAAAGCACATAAACCCGTCAACACACACACACACACACATGGTGGCCGAGTGCTGCTAACATGCAGATGTGTCCGCCACACACACACACAGAGCAGACAGAGAGCAGAGCGCTTCCAGAGGTTTGTGGAGGAGAACGAGCTGAAGCGCAGGAGAGCCATGAAGAAGCTCCAGATGGAGAAACAGCAGAGCCAGAGCAAGGAGGAGGAGAGAGGAGAGCTGGCCAATCAGATGGAGAGACTGCAGGACAGGTGACACACACACACACACACACACACACACACACACACACTGGGGAAGCTCAGACTGATGCTGTGTCTCCACCAGGCGGATGCGTCTGAAGCAGCGGGTCAGCAGATACAAGATCTTCGAGGAGTTCCTGATGAAGACGCTGGAGTTACTTCCAGACAGTAAGAACACACTCACTGCGTGTGTGTGTGTGCGTGCATCACATGAGGAGCAGATCCATGATCAACACTGTAATGCGGCACACATCATCAGCGAGGAGATCAGCAGAGCAGACAGTGTAGTCAGGGCTGCTTGTCAGTGGTCTCAGTGTGCTCTCTTCTGTGCAGACTATCTAGGGTTGGGGACAGACCTGGTGGCGCCCATCATCAGACGCTACGAGACGCTCAGCATCAGCCGACAGGATCTCCTGCAGCAGTTACAGCGGCTGACGGACCAGATGAAGACCGACCACAACCAGCTGGACACACTCAAGCAGCAGCACAACACCTACAAACTGGTACACACACACACACACACACACACACACACACACACACACGTCCAGCTTCAGGAGGTGAAGTGTGTGTGAAATCTGAATGTACGATGTTTAGTTTGCTAGCTCATGTTCGTGATGTGGATGATGAGAGCGAGTTCATCCACAATAACAGTCAGTGTCAGACTGCTGATCTTCTCTGATGATGATGATGATGATGTCAGTCTGATGATTCAGTCGCAGTACTCTTAGCCACGCCCCTCTTACTGTTAGTTTCTACAAGGGAGTGTGCAAATAGTATCAGTTGTGCAAAACAAAAGCCCCGCCTCTTACTCAATATTCCATGTTATGCAAAAAACACCCCGCCCATATTCAATTTCAGCTGTAAAAACGCCCCACCCCCTATTCAATATTCAGTTTCAGCTGTGCAAAACACCCCACCCCCTACTCAATATTCAGTTTCAGCTGTGCAAGAAGATAATGATGACACTGGCAATATCACACTGCAGTCTGATATGTGTGTGTGTGTGTTATCAGACAACGAACCAGGATCTGTCGGACCTGCAGACACAGCTGGATCAGATGACGGAGAGGAACAAACAGCAGGAGATGAGTCTTCAGCTGCAGCAGGCCCAGTCCAGAGACCAGGTCTGACACACTCACATGCAGCGGTGTACAGTAGCACATCAGCAATACTCCACTGCTGTAGTTGAGGACGTTTCTCAGGAATTTAATGAGTGGTTTTATAAATGAGCACTCCTCCTCGAGTTTACTGCAGTATCGGTGCTGTTACTCTACTGTCCTCCAGCCTGCTGTATTATCACCTGTCTATGAGGATTAGAGAGATCAGTCAGTGATTCCTGACCAATCAGATCACAGAGAAGGTAAATCCATCATGCTGAACTCGGTCAACACACGGCTGATTCATACCTGCAGCAAACTGTGCAGAAACATTAAAACTGTCCAGAAGATGTTGAAACTCTTCACACACTGACCCAGACTGTGCAGATGATCACTGATGGCGGATGTTTACTGTATGACGACCCAAATGGCCTTCAATTATGTGGAATTGAGAATGGTCAGAACTCAACATCAGCGTCTCATGATGGCACAGCTCAGTGTAGTGTGGACGTTACCACTGTGTCGTCTGTCAGATGTTGGGTTTGGGTTGTCAGACCTGATAAATAAGTCAGTATCTGACATCATTAGAACGCTGGTCCTCCAGCACAGGGGTTGCAGTTCCTGCCTTTAAATGACCCTAGTCTGAGGCCTGATCCTCCACATCAGCAGAGAATGAAGCATCTGATGACCGCAGGGGTGTGTGTGTGTGTGTGTGTGCAGGTGGAGGAGCTGGGCCGGGTCCTGCTGGCGGTCCGGAATCTGGCAGAACAGTGTCAGCTCAGCCACTACGGCCCACTGCAGGACATGAACACCAGCACCATGATGGACATGATAAAGGTCTCTCTCTCTCTCTCTCTCTCTCTCTCTCTCACACACGCACACACACACACACGCACACACACACACACACACAAGCACAATGATGATAGTGGTCAGACACACACACACTCAGTGTTGTTGTTGTTCTGCAGGAGTTTATGGTGGATAAAGCAGATCTGGAGCACAGAGCCATGAGACTCGCAGCCGGCAGCAGAAGCAAAGAGCAGAAGAAAACACAGAAGAAGAAGAAGAGCAGCAGGACACAGAAGAGCACGCAGCAGTAGACCAGCGTGTGTGTGTGTGTGTGTGTGTGTGCTGGAGGAGTTCTGCCTTATTCACACTGCAGATCTGGATTTCAGTTCAGATTTTTATTCTAGACTTGATGATGTCCTGCATTAATGAAACACAGCGAGGAGAGGAGAGGAGAAGAGAAGAGAAGAGCGGAGCGGCCGGAGACTGAAATATTCTGTATCTCATCTGTTCACATCATTTAATAAAAGCACACGACCTCTCTCAACACCTACTGCCCTCATATTATTATGATTATTGTGCTGCTCAACTGCTTCAGCTTGTGCTACAGGACACAGTAACAGTCGTGTGTGTGTGTGTGTGTGTGTGTGTGTGTGAGGGCAGCTGTGTTCAGAGGTCATTCACTATTGACAGGTGAATATTCCCACACATCTGAGTCTGCACACACGACTGATCCTGTACAAGAGTCCGCTGATGATCTCCTGCTTTCATAAGAGACGAAATCTCACTGTGATCACGCTGAACCCCTATTCACACACCAGCACATCAGGCCATGTTCAGAAGAGGAGCAACACACACACACACACACACACACACACACACACACGCACCATGATGACCAGCAGAGCGGAGCATGATGGGAAGAGTCTGAGAGGAGCAGCTCTGACTGTCCTGCCACACGGACACACACACACACACACAGACTCAACACTCAAACCACACTCACTCATAACACACACGATTCCATAGAAAAACACTCACATTCACTCACAACACACACACACACGCACACGCACACGCACACACTCACACACGCACGCACACACTCACACATAACAGTTTCTTAGCCTCTGCTCGGGTCACTGTGTGTGTGTGTGTGTGTGTTAGCGTCTGCGCGTGCTGCTCTGTGTGTCCTGCTTCAGGCTGGCGAGGGCGGTGTCCTGGGGCAGTGTGGGCAGCAGTAGTTTGCCCATCTGTGTGGGGTATCTGGTCTTCATCTGACTTCTGAACACGGGCTGTGAGATCAGGATCTTCAGCTGTTTCCTCAGCATCTGCTTCTCCCGCTGCTGCTCGCGCTCCTCATCCTCACCTTTAGAGGATCCTGAAACACACACACACACACACACACACACCATCAGGGACAACACCTCGGATCACACAGAACTAACGCTCCAAAAGGGTGTAAAGGAGACGTGTAATGTTTGGCCACCCTGCAGCCAGGCCTGGTCACTGGACACACAAACTAGCTTTTGGGTCAGGGAACGTCTCCTCACCGGGAGGGAGGGAGCCTGAGCTTGTGCTGGACGCTGAATGGTTCGGGCTCTGGAACTCAGCTTCTCAGGAACAGCT